AAGTAATCTGAAACATATATTACAATATTTTCATGCGCTGCGTTGTTTTCGAGTTATTCTTGATCAAATATGAAATTTGACAGTAAAAGTTGATAAATGGCATAGGGCCTGGATCAAGTCTCTGGGACGTAACTTAAGGAACAAGACAAGCGCTTGTTAATCTTGAGAAAATCAACGTGTTATGTATAATGGCCATAAACGTGTTCATGCTATCAAATTTCAATCAGTTGTGGCACGTAATGGCCTTATTGCTCATCTTTATGGTCCAATAGGTAACTTTTGTTGCATATTGCATTATTGTTATTACCATTAATTCATTATATACGTAATATATATTATATTACATTTCTTGTAGTCTTGAGTTATAGTGCAAAAATATTATCAGTGCCTTATATTACAACGTGCTCTTATTCTTTGAAGGCAAACGTCATGATGCTGGGATGTTGAGAATGTCAGGCCTTCTTGAACAACTCGAGGAACATTGCAATTCTCCTTTTGGAGAACCCCTTATGAGGGGAACATTGCAATTCTCCTTTTGGAGAACACCATTTATGGTGACCCTGCCTACCCTTTGAGAAGACATCTTCAGAGGCCATACAAGCATCACAATCTTGATGAATGGCAAATTGAATTCAACTGTTCAATGAGTTCTGCTCGGGTTAGTGTAGAATGGGTTTTTGGAGACATAATTAACTATTTTAAGTTTATGGATTTTAGAAAGAATTTAAAAATTGGATTGAGTGTAGTTGGGAAGATATATTCTGTGTGTGCCCTATTGAGAAATGCATTAACTTGTCTGTATGGCTCGACTACAAGTTCTTATTTTGGAGTTGTTCAACCCACACTGCAGGAATACTTTCAACTATTATAATTACACAATTATTCAGTGTGTGAATTAACACTGTGCAACTTTCAACATAGTTTGGCCAAAATATAAAAATGCACATAATTTTCAAATCATATTCCAAAAAGAAAATGTCATGCGTTGATTACTAGCATATCAATTGGCCTTGCTTGTGAAGTGACATCAATATGATGCTTCATTTTACTGTTGCATCATTTTACTTTAATTTGTTTTCATTTTACTATTAATTATTTTCTTATTTAATTCACACACTGATTTGAATTAAAAATATGTGCATTATTTAGGAATTCAACATTTATTAACATTGGAAATTGACTTGTTTATACATACATATGTACAAAATATATTGATAATATATGTACAAATATAATACTTGTTAATTATTTCTTAACATTTATGTAAATTATTATTGTAAAAATATTATAATGATATAAATATCATATAACATGAGGTAATTTTTACATTTATTCAATAACAAAGAATTTATTAATTTAAAACAACAACACGTAACACTTAACATGTAATCTTTAGTGCTTAATTATTTAATTTCTTTGTAATTTCAGACAAAGTGTGTAAGATGGACATAGTTACAACTTGATGGCTTTGTTGAAACTGCTGTTGTTGGGTAACCATTGACTTTATCAACTCCTCTTGCTGTTTCAATTGAGTCTCCATAAGATTTAGTTCTTTTTCTCTTAATTCCCTTTCTTGTTCTTTTTCTTTCTTCTTTGTCTCAATTGAGGTCTTCATTAGTTCCATCACATCATAGTTTCGTCTTCTTTTTCTCTCTGGGGAAGCTAGTTCTTCCTTCTCTTCATTTCGCCTTCTTCTTGTTTCCCCGAACTTCTCGATAGCTTTTCTTCTCATCTCTTCAGCACTTTCCTTTTCCTTGTTTTCTTTTTCCTTTTTCATTTCTGGGGTCATTTCACATTCATTCATTCGTTCCAATATGTCAACCATTGCTCTATCCCTCTCAGTATACTCCACATCTATTCCACTTGCTCTTTCTTCCATTGATTCTTTTTGCTTAAATTCTTTAACAATCTTCTCAAACCGCTCCCTCACAGACCTTTGACTTGTCTTCATACCCATTTCAGTCAAGTTTGTGGAAATTTGTGTCAAATGGCTCCTCTCTCCTTTGAACCTTGACGATGCTGAAATGGTTCCAGCAAAAGCACTTGTCGAAGGAGAAGTTCATCTTGAATAGTCTTCTATATGAAATTTTCACGTTTACTTGGAGCGTTTGTCATCTAAAATAAGCAATACAAAAATATTTAAAATAAAATTTACACACTCAGAAATTATCAAACTTAACTTTTTATAGCAAAAAAAATCATTCAAAGCTTTCGTTGTGATAGAAAACAAAGAACTATTTAGAAATATTTTATCCTTTAAAATTTGGCTTATTAAAAGAAATTATAACAACAGCAAAATAAAGAATACTCAAATCTCCGCCGAACAAAACACAATTGACACAAAGTAATAACATGTTCTTGAATAAAAGTTCACTCTTCACACAGCGACCGAGTGTCTAGTGTCAGTTTTGAACATTTTACACTATAATATATTCATGTTTATGTATAGTGCATAATTTTAATGCTGCCGCGTATATGAGGGCAGTCAACCATTCTTTGCTATACTTGAATAGTTGTTTACTCGTCGTTTTGTCTCGCAGTTACATGAAATTTTCATGGTTTTACTTTTATATAGAATTTAGACAAAAGCTCAAAATACACCCCTTAAGGACAAGCATGGATGGTTTAACGTACTATTTTGACTTAATTTCACATGAAAAGATAAAAAATACCATCTTACCTGGCTTTTAAAAAGTTCGTAGTCGCGACGAGTTTTTTAAAAATCTTCGTACTCAGATTAATGACGGCTACGTGTTTATGTTGTCACAACAATGTTTTCGCGTCATAATGACGTATTCGTACCTGTAGTCGTAATCGTACTGTTTGCTAAAACCATTGAGTTCTATAATAACTGGAGGGGAAACGTCAACAAAATTAGTATAAATTATTAGCGCGCGGCCGCGTGGTCAAAAACATGGCGGATTTTGGTGGTCAAAGTCAGCGGAGAGACGCGGGCTCATGAAATAAAATTTTTGTCGCCCACCCTGATTTGACCACCACGATTGCGAGTATAGAAAATATCAAAACTATTTATTTTCCTAACATAAACACTTTTTTAAAACTTTATTTATTAAACTGCCAACTTTTGTGGTTTGCGGATGCTGAAATAGCGACAGAAAAGGGACATTTCTTGACTCCGGTAAGTAGCACAGTATTAGTTTTACCATTTTGTTTTTAACACGATACTTGAAGAGTGTTTCTACTACTAAGTTTTAATTTAAAGTTATTTTGGTCCAGTCTTGTTTGTTCTTCACTTAATCGCTCGCCAGACGCCAGACTCAATTTTTATCGAAATTTGCATCCATCTTGTATCATGATCAAGGCATCAAGCTAAACTCTCCTGATTTGAATTGAGTTTACCTCCCAAAAATGGGGCATAATTTGTTCATGTTTTTTTTTGAAAAGATGAAGGGAAAGTTTACAACAGAGTTGTGTTGAAATTGAATGCAGTGCCATGCAAATTTAATGAGAACTATGGTATATGTTGTATAATAAAAATAACTATTAAACTGTTTGCCTGCTCAATTTGACTGTATAGTGTAGACAATTATAATGGGATTGGAAAGTTGGATTTATGCAAACAGTTTTAAAGTACTACTTAGCGTTTCTGTAAATGAAGTATTTATTGTTATAGTAAACAGGTTACTACTTCAAAACCAAGATAAAAGTAGTGTGTTGAACAATGTGCTAAGATTTGTTTCTACCTTCAAATTTTTGTTCAACAGTAGCTTATGATTATATTATTAATATTCATTAAATCGATACTTGGTATGATTCCAGGTGATCCACAAATTCACATCGGATGCATTGGTTACAATGAAGTTGAATGTAGAAGAAGCAAAAACAGATGGCAAAGAAATTCTTTGTGTCTTGTGAAGAATTAGTAGAAATCAATAAAAAGAATTCTTTAAACAAATTGTAAACAAATTTAAATTTGCTCATGGTCAAGCAACCTAGTCAAAGAAGCAAAGTCTGTCTTCAACATGTTGGACCTTTCCAATTATTTAGCTTCTTTGTACAAAATACTATTTTCGAGAAACCTGATTTGTAAGTCTTTCATTAATATTTTTTTACCAAGAGATAAAAGGAACTAATTCAAAGGCTTGATGTAAAATACAAAGATTTAACAAGTTGTTTATCATTTAATTCCCAAATGTTAGTTTGTACATATAAATAATTAGTATTGGTAGCTGTAAGTTGTTTAAGCAAAACAGAAGTATAGTACTGCTCGAAGGGGTTAGCATTTTGAAAAATTATATCTTGTTCATGACATATATTACACAATTCAAAAAAACTGTAAGTAATGCACAATAATATCTATAGAATTTGATAAATTTCTTCACCTACACTGTCAAATAACTATTTTGCCTTCATGCTGCAATAGACAGTGTTTTTGTCAGAGAAACCAATGCACTTTAGTTTCCAAGTTTGTAATTTCAATGGAAAATTAATGTAGTTCTGTTCAGTAATAGATCCAAGATTCTGCCAAGCTGTTTACAAAATACAAATTACCAAGCAATAGTATCATGGTGTTTTTGAATTTTTTCTTTTTTGTAGCTCTTCTACTTCAACATACTTTGTTTATGAGTTTTCAGTAGATTTAACAGGTAATGACAATACACTTATGATACTTATCCATGGTAAATTTTCAGTTGACTTATGTCGTAGGACTGAAGCAAAGATTTTATCGCTTCCTTAGGAGCATGTTTACACAGATTTATCCATTTGAGCAAGAAAAATAGTTGCACCAAACTGTTTACAAACAGTCAAACACCAGGCCTGCCAATTCTCCCCGTTTCGCCGGGAGACTCCCGCTTTTGCTGCATTTTTCCCGACCTCCCGACAAAGATACTAAATCTCCCGCTTTTTTAAAGCTTAGGCTTTTAGAAGTTTGTTTGCATTTTTATTCATCGCATGGAAAGAAATACTCGATGAATAGCATTCAAAACATTACGTATTGTAGCCGCGGTGCGCCGGGAACTGGGCATGACATTGATTTTCGTTTTTTCGTATAACACAAAATGGCTGCCAGTGAAAATTTTTGTGCATAACACTTGAGGTAATTATTGCCATTTGCCTAATAATTCAATCTTAAATGTGAGTGTGATGCTCGCTATGTAGGTAGGACTTCTCAAAGGTTGAGTGAAAGAATAAAACAGCATGTACCAGCTTCTGCCAGGAATAAAATTGTTCCTTTACGACAACTACCAAAACGTGGGTGTAAAAGTGAAAATCCGATTCTATGTGATTCAGCGATTGGAAAACATCTTTTGAGCAACACTCGCTGTGCCAATGCTTATTCTGATGAAAACTTTAGAATAATTAAAAAATGTCGCTCGTTATTCCAGCTACACGTCATGGAGTCGGTATTAATTAAATTGACTAATCCTGTCCTTTGCCGACAAAAGGACTACGTGTTTAATCTGTCTCTGTTTTAAGTGTCATCTCTAAAAATAGGGATGACATTGACCTTTTGTAACGTTATAAATATATCATGGTTTGGAGGTTCTCGTTTAGCAGACGTTGACACCTGATGTGTAGTCTGCCGAAATGCATAGTGTCTCTCTCTAGCTGTAAATAACGGTTCCTTTGAATTGTTGGGTTAGTGTTCTGGTTAAAACAGTTCTTTTAAGAACTATTACATTGTTATTATTACCATTCACCATGGTATTTGCTATTTTGAAATCTATCTTTAATTCAATCTAAAAATATGTCGTATACAAGAATAGAAATCTCCAGTTTTTTTGCCAGATCTCCAGGTTTTTCTGCATTAATCTCAAGGTTTTGTATTCCTTGGGGTTGGCAGGTCTGAAACACACAGAAGCATAAAATAGTGTATAAGTTTGACGAGATTGACAGGTCTACTAATGCCGTTTGATTTTCACTTTTAAAAGTTTAAAATGTCATAAAATAACTTAAATGTTACAGCCAAAATATGCGTTTCTGTACCGTCGATTTTTTTTATTTTCATGTGTGTGTACTGTGTTTTCACGCAATGCTGAAGCGTTGGGGGTAGCTTGAAAGAATTAGGGTAGCTTGGTTCTCTAGGAGTAAAACACTGCAGCTTCAATTTCTCTCTTGGCAATGCTCATTTGATAGTGGGATAGCTTCCTTAATTGGGTTGCAATCCCCATACAGAAAAAATGGGCATCATCTTCCTCATGATTCAATTGCTGGTCAATAGACTTAAGCATCTCATCATAATCCATGGAGCTTTTCCTCTTGCATGCTTTCTTGGTTTTGGAGCTGTTGAAGTTGGTGTTGTTATTGATGGTGATGGTGATGGTGAATGTATGGGTGAGAGTGAACTGGGTGAGTTTACAAGAGATGAGGATGTAGATGGTTCGTTTGATGACTGACCTGATGTAATCGCAAGAAAGGTTGGAGTATTTAATACATCCAAATTATTGACTGGAGAAGGCGCATTTATTGGTCTATGTAGATTAGATGACGTGCTATAGTTAACAAATTAAATAAACTTTCATGTATAATTAAAAAATTGAAATGATATTAAACAAATAGCAAACCTTCTTTTTTTGTTAAAATCCAAATACCAATCAAAGTGTCGCCACCACTTCCAATTCGGCTCGTCAGTGGCAGCAGCACCACTAGCTCTTCTAAGATCGTACTGCCTTTTGTATTGCATGATTGAATCACGTAGATTTGCCCACTATTTCATGATAGTGTCAACTGTAAAATGTTTAAAAACTAATGGAAATGCATGATTTGATATAAAAAGTGTGTCGGCGGACTATAAATAATACTCACTATCCCACGCCAAGTCCGTAATTTTATTAAATTCATCCGAAACATGAATGTAAGTTATTTCTTTTCTTGTTCGACGAGTCCTTATAATCCGGGTGACTTTTATCATACAAAATTGGTTTTTCTCGCATCAGATTTATCAAAACCTCTTGCCACTCCGCCATGCTTGAACAAACCAGGGATGGCATTTATTCTTTAATAATTTTTCTTTAATCTTCTTTAATGATTAAAGAAGATTTGAATCAAAACTAAAAATTGTCTTTAATGTTCCTTATTTATGCTCTTACGTCTGAAATAGTGTTTATCCAATGTCACATTAAAATATTAAATAACAGCGTATTTTCTCCGTGGTTCACTTGTACATTCACTATGTAATATGAGGTTGTCTTGATGAGAATACAGAGCCTGGTGACTTGTTAAAGTCTCAAGATGGCGGCACAACAAAGTAAAAAATTTATATTTCATATTTGCATTTTGGCAAATGTGCATTATTATTTAGCATATATAGCACATATATTTAGCACATATAGCATATTTGCATTTTAGCTCAGGAATAAATATTTCCTTCTTGACAATTTGTTTTGATTTTTGTTAACGTTTTAATGGTTTTCTCGAAAAGTTTTCTTTAATTGTCTTTAATTGTCTTTAATTGAATTAAAGAATAAAGAAAAAAAATTTTTCAAAAAAACCTTCTTTAATCCATCCCTGGTACAAACTCTGATATTATTAGCCAATAGTGTGCGTTTTCGTTGATGAAAAAGGTCAAAAGTTCAACTCTTCTAATATACACGAAAACGAAATTTTCGTCGAGTTTTCGTTCAAAATTTTTGTTGCGGCAGTTATCGCTGATATGGACAATAGTGAGTCCTAGGCTGTACTCTTGCTAAAGCTCCCTATTATAGAACTCAATGTGGCGGCCAAGTTAGCCTTCCAGTTGTTATAGAGTTCACTGCTTTTGACATCATTAATCCATGACATCATTATAGCACATGCGCATTGACGTCTACAAACGTAAGTGCTGGATGTGTGGCGAAGACAGAGTTCAATTTGGTAAGGCTATGAAAGCGTAAAGGTTTGTTAAAAAGTTTCCTTTGAAACTGCATTTAAACGTGTGTTTGTAAACCAAGCTCATTTTCAGTAATCGTCGTACAGGATGGTTGATCTTTCCTTAATCTGGTCATCGAAATGTCGATGTTTTCGACCTATACGATGAAACACGAACTTGGCAATGTCGTGGTCAATGGTCGCACGAGTTGATTGACCGACTTATTTCTTCGTGCCACTTCCCTGCACTGTCGTAAATCTTGGCTATTTTTTTGCACTGAACCGTCTCACATCGAAATATGTCATTTATTCACTACAAATTCAAGAACAACCTCGATTACAAAACTCTTTCTTTCGACGGTTTGTCAATATCACTATGCGATTTGAAGCAGGCCATTCTATCGCAAAACAGAACAAAAGGCAGCGAAACCGACTTGGAAGTGACAAATGCTCAAACTAAAGAAGGTATGGGTGTCTTCAAGTTTAAGATTTTATATATTTTCTCTGATTTGTTTGTTTTTGTCATTTTCCATGTGTTACATGATGTGTGATTTTGAAAGATTTCAAGTATAATTATTTTTACAACCGTCCTCCTTCATTGTTTGTTGATTATATGAGAGAATTCGTTTGTGTAGCTCGTAGAACATGAAATTTATAAAAGATCTCTTATTACAGCTTAGCCAATATAGCATAGTAAAAACCGTAAGATCCGAAATAGACAATCACACTTCCCGGATAAGTAACCTTCGCTCCCCCATCTGAGAAGTCGTAAGTCGTGAGATGTTAAGGACACAACTTGCTGAATTTCTTACTAGAGTTTTATATTAGTTGGTAGGGGATCGTTATTTTGATGATTTCAAATGTTAAAATGATGGAAATTTGGTTTTACTCTTAATTTCAACGTAGGAATTTGTTTTTTGAATCTGTTATGACATGTTATGGAAGTATATCAAATTTTAAGGTTTGCTTCTCAAAATTTATGTACTGAAGGCACTTTATACGGTGTGTAAGATAATAAGTGAGGTTAGAGAAACATGGTTAAACTGTGTTCATGTTGGGATATTTAAAAATTGAACAAGTGAAATTCGATTGCAATTTTACTGATCTATTGTGTATAAAGAACAACAAACAAACAAACAAACAACATTTATATACCGGCCAGTATTAATCCCCGCTAGGGGGGTTGACCGGTCCATGAATTTTTCCACGCCAAACGTCTCTATCTCTCGCCATATCTCTCGTTATACCCATCGCCTTCATATCACTGTTCACAGCATCCATCCATCTCTTTCTCGGTCTACCTCGAGAAAGAGATGGATGTATAACTTGACTTATAGCAATGGAGGTTTGGTCACGTGTGTTGTCTTTGGTAATTTCTCTGTTGTCTACTTTTCGTGTGATGACTGTCTCAACTCTTAGTATATGACATGTTGAATATGTTTGCTAAATTTTAAAATCCTGAATGACTATATAATTGTGCAATTATATTGTAATGCCTTGTTTATGTAATGATGGTGAATTGCATTCTTGCCAGCTTTAAATATTTTCATGAAAACATGCAACATAATGTGATGTTTTGTGAACAGAAATTTGAGTGACATTAGGTTCATATTAAATACTTTCCTGATTGTAAACATGGTTTTATAACTTAGTTTTGTATTGAATCCATGTATCATATAGTATACTTGTTATGAAAAAAGTGAAAACTTTTTGTATTCAATATGTGTTTGGTTATATATAAGTGTAAAGGAAAAGATTTAAATCTGTTATGATATCATGTGTATTTTATGGAAAATTGTGAAACAACAGAAACTTAAGTAGACTTACAATTTTCTTAATGTGTTTAAAACTTTTGTGTTTACAGTATACACAGATAATGGCACTCAAATACCAAAAAATGCTTCAGTGATAGTCCGTAGAACTCGTTCAGGACCAAAGGAAAAGGCAATGACTGCAGCGTATGTATTCATGATAGTAATTTTGTTGCAAATGTGCTTGGATTTTAAATTTGCTATTTAAATTCTTTCATTTTATCACAGAGAAAGACCACAGTCGCCTGGAGAGGCATCTAAACCAGTACGTAATATGTTTTATTTTATAGTTAAATATTCTCACAGATATTGACTCGTAGTCCTTTCTTGATGTCCAGAAGTCTGTCTGCAACTTAGCCCCACCTACCCTCCCTTATTCATTTTTCTGCCTGTAATTATATAAGAAATACAATTCATGTCAATATTTGTGGGAATTCTGTTGATTTCTTTGTAACAAATGCTTTGTTGTACAAAGATTGTTCTTTTTTAATAAACATTTTATTTTCAAGTTTCTATGTTTTGCTGCACCTTGTTGTGTGAGCAACTTGGTCAGAATAAATTGATTTTGCTTTTTGAGTGTTTGTGTGTATGTGTGTCTACATGCATATTTCATTGTTATGCAAACCCATTTCTTTGAAAACCACACACAAGATCTGGGGGTGTTGTATTAACAATATCTCACCAATTTGTCATGAGAATGGCTAAAATTACTTGGTGATCTTGTGCTTAAGGCTGCATTGCCAATGTATTTGAGGCTCCAAAAGTATTTCATCTTTAAATGCTAAAAGTTTGATTCTATTTTCTATTGTTGATTTTTGTCATTTTTTTAAAAAACACAGGATTTTCGGCTACACTAGTTGTAATTTTTGCACAGTTTTAAATGTTTCCTGGACGATATTGTACCATACCATGTTTTTTAATTTATTCTTGAAAGCAAACTTATAAGCCGAAAGTACAATGAGCAAATAGCACTTACAAACAAAGGCACTTTGCTTTTGGCTCTTGTCAGCCTGACTGCTGAAATTATTTGCTAAGATAACCCAGTAAGGTTGATGATGGCTGTTTGAAGTATTAGACAACAAAGTATCAGCATTATTTCACAGTGAAATGGCTAGAAGCAAGAGGTTTTGTTTTGTTGGATCAATGTCTATGAACGAGAAACAGTCTTCTTAATGGTGTTGCTAAAAGGTGACCCAAATTTTGTAATGTTTGGTATATTGGAACTCAATATACTTAACTGGAAAGCACTTTTGCCCTCATAAATTGGACCTACTTCCAACTTTGCGTTTTGGGATTGCTAAATTTGTGCAAGCTTCATTTTTTGTACTGGCCAAAATATTAATCATAAATTCAGTGTCAGAGCTGTTTACTGTAAACTATCCGATAGTCGCCTCCATCAACTAAACGCCTCGTATCTCATAAATGCCTCATTCAAGCGTTGGTCAGTTTTAGACGTTTCTCTGTAATAAACGCGCCATGTGTAATAGATGCTCCTTGTGACATTACTATTTTGATAATAATATTAAAATTAAGTGGTTAATTGGGCTCAGAAACTGCATTTAGTCTTAGAATTTTATCATTTGTTGACATTAGACAACACTCTTTTAAACTCCTAGTATTTCTTAACGTCAACCCTAAAACTGCTAGAGTTTGTAAGCGCCCCTGGCGTTTATTAGGTCATTTAAAGTGCTGAGTGTTAGCCAGCTTTGGCTTATTCACCTTCTTGTTTGGTAGAGTTTTCCAAATCGAAACAGCCAGGGCTTTTTTCAGTTACTAAAATACTTTTCACCACCTTTCAGTAACTAAGCAAACGTTGATGCGTCGGTAAAAACGTCGTGAAAGTGATTTTAAAATGGCACATGAGTATCCATATATGGGCACTGTTCGTCATGCACATGCAGGGTGATTAACTGAAAAGAATTTCCTGTAATGAATTGGTTTATACTTCTAACTTATGAGCTGTCGACGTCAAAATATAGAGCTAGGGAAAGAGGGTTTTGAGGGTTACAGAAGGTCTTCATGGTCAATAGTTAGGGATACTGAGATAATGTTTTCACCTCTCTGGTGTTAGCAGTGATAATATTAGTATGAACATTGTAAACGACAGAAAAGCTTGGAGTATCCGTGCTGTTATATCTTATGCATTTATAAAATGTTGAGATATTAAAGTTACTTCTTGCGCGCCAGTTAGATAATTGCTCTTTGACTTGAAACTCTTTCTTGAAATCTGTAAAAATTAGCAATAATTAGTACTCTCTAGATTGTACGCTAAAACGTTGCACATAATTATTTGAGGTAATCGAGAACCATCATCTATAAAAGACACTATGAAACGATATAATTGAGTATCTGTACTATCTTCTCGTTAAGAAAATAACAATGATTCAAATGGAAAAAGGAAAATTTTAAATTCCTACATGTCGATTGTCAACTGCATAAAACAACTGAATCTCTATGAAGGGATGCTTATTTGCAAACTTAATTAAATCATCAGATTAATCATCAGGGGTAACGCATTTGTTGTTGAATATTGAACAACTACAATCATCCTATTGATGATTAAATTGTGTTTTTTAAGAATTCTTTTTTAGTATCTGTTCTGTTGGTTTACTTATTCGATAATTATTGCTTTAGAATTTGAAAAGGTCTGATGTTTATATGATTGTTGTTATTTTTAACATGAAGATGGGGCCTGGCTACCTTATTGACTTATATCGAGTCATACCGTCTTTTATCGTTGATGGCTCTCTTTTATTTCATGTTCTCTCAAGTTTCTTTTTCTCTTCCCGCAAAATCCCTTACTAAGCGTTTGTGACGATCTCAATTTCAATAAGTTCGACTAATGATTCCAACTGATTTTCAATTCACCGTCTTGATGGTTTTTACCTCAAATGAAAGTACGCCCTTAAAAAAATGTGTGTCAAGCAAGGTGCATTGCGCGCTATTGTTTATGCTTTCATCGTTATTTTTGAGTTTGCGGTACACTGAATTTAGTTTCGTCACTACCTCGTCTAATTTATCTGGAAATAAGCCGAAAACATTCATTAAAAACTCTTCTACATCAATTATTATCGTTGCATGGACTGCAACAACGAAATCTGCCATTTTCTCCACCCACAACATGGCCATGACGCTCTGCTTAACGTGCAATGCATCTCGGTTGACACACATTCTTCATATTATCAACATGTCATTCGTACATTGAACGCAAGCTATTATTACAAACTTCTAGAACGGGAAAGGTCGAAAACATGTGAAATTAAATTTTTGATACGTTTGAGGATATATAGGAGTGTTGTCTTATTTGAAAATCAAAGGTCTTGATGAAACCAATCACGGATACACAGGGGGATACATACTAACAAATAATTTGAAGCAACGTACGTTGAAGGAAACTGCTAAAGAAAAATTAGACGTTAATTTCGTCGCTCGGTTATATTAACTTACTCATATGTCACTGCTAAAGTTGTACGGTTCTGCTACGGTGATTATATCCTTTTCCATTAAATTTGTTGACAGTTGACGTGCAGGACTGCACGGGTTTTGCTTTAGTCATGATTTGTGTTGTGAATAAAGAATATGTAGAAAAAAAACGTTTCAGAAACCATTCAGTGTACGAGGCGGTCAAGCAATTGAACAGTTATATTTTGATAAAATGAAAATTAAATGTACTTCGATAATAAGAAGCGTGCAAATCAGTATCCAGTTTTACCGGGTCTTGAGAAAACTTCATAGTCGCCATTCTATAACGGTTATACCGGTTTCTACGCGCGCAAAGCTGGCTGGAGGTAAACAAAAAGCCAGAGTGATACATATGACTTACAAGTACCCCTACGGAGTATCCGTGAGTCAATTAGTTAGGAGTTGGTTTACTATGACAATATTCAAGAACATTGGTAGATGGCTTGTATCGGTAACAATAACTTTTCTAAAAAATTGTTGACGTTAACATTCGCAACCAAATGTATTAATTCTTCGTATGTAAAAAATGGTAGTAGTTTGACAGCCTTTTGGGAAACTGCTGATGGTAGATTTAAAATAAGTGTTGTTTAGATGCTCCATGGTACAGATAAGCAGTACTTACACCACACTGTTGTTACTCTGAACAACATTAGATAATAAACGATTTAGCTTGGCCTAGGTTGCAATAATTTGACACGCTTTAATAACACAATTGTGTGTTTTTCTTTTATTTAGGGAAACATCATTATGAACATTATTCAATTTCGTTTGTCTTCCGTTACAGTTGCACTGTCACTCTAATGTTGTTTTAGTTTTTTATGTAGTTGGTCAACCCCTCCAATCAGCAATTTTTACTGATTTTCACTATTTTTTAACTAATTCTAAAAATATAAGAATTTTCGGATTTCTACATCCTGAAAAGGCTGACCAATTTTTCTATTCCGCATTATTATAAATTGGTTGAAAGTCTTTACGAAGGGTTGACCATCTTCGATTGTGCACAATTCTCGTGCCTTTTTAATTGCATTTTTGTACTTGCAAACATACTTATTGTTCATTCACTTTGAGAAGACCGAGAGCTCAGACGACCCACCAGTTGTGCCATTGAGCAAGCTAAACAAGGTTAGTGGTTTACTGTAGAGAAAGTGACTCCACCTATACGCGCTGGTTCGTCATTGGTAGTTTTAGTTCATTGTGCAAAAGAAAATTGCTAAGAAAATTGTTCTCGACATAGAGTATTACTTACATGCAAGTCGTAAAGGAATGGAGCAGTGACTATGCAAATATGGTCGTGCTTGATAAATTTTAATGAGGCTACGTCGAAATATTTGCATCACAACTAAGTGGCTGGCCACGCTGCTGCGAAAGAGACTCGTATTGTAAACAATAGAAATAAGAGTTGCATATTCAAGATTACAACTCACTCCTTCTCAGTGAGCAAAGGCAATTAACTTACAACATTTAGTTTTACCTTTATTAGTATCATACAACTTCATTTTCAATTTGAGAAGGAAGCTTATTTGCAGGCTTTCCTTTATTACTTTCCTTCACGAGTTTGCTTGACCATTGTTCTCGCTTGTTTGTTTCCCATGTTGTGCCATTGTATTGTGCCTTAGCAAAAGTCTGGTATTGTTTTTCGATCACATGTGTGCATTTGGCAGTGAGACTTTAAACCTTGTTGGAGTTTTTCTTATGTTCATGTACTAGTGTGTGTGCTTCTACAGGTCGCAGATTTGGCGTCAGCAAATGCTTCCGAAGAAGACAAGATTGCTGCGATGATGAATCAAGCTGGAGAAGACTGGGATCCATCATCGTACGTTCTTTTTTTTTAAATGTCATAATGAAGTTTTCGTAGTAATAGAGCATATTTGTTTCCCGTAACCAATTCTGTTTACGATAACAACACGAATTCCTCGTTTTCTATCCTGTGTTCATGTGGTGTAGAAACAGGTCTGTTAAACTGCGACGGCCTATTGGTTGCTCATTAAGGCCATTGGAACTGTTTTCATGACATAGCCGGGACGTTGCAATGTTTTTAGCGAGTTTTGCAAAATTAAAACGACCATTGTATTTATGATCAAACCTACATTTACACTTCGTTAATGCTTATATACAGGGTGTTTGAAAAATAGACAGCTAGGAAAATGTTAGTAAATTGACTACCGCGTATTGTTTACAAAAAACCTTTGGTTGAAATAAGTAGTTGGACATCTGACTGTAAATTTCTCGCAAAAAAATAACGATTTTTAGAGTGGGAATTGGCATACCGAAAAGGACTTTCGAATTGGCCTGCGCCAAAATCAAAATTTCTATTTTTTGCGGAGTGATCAACTTATTCATAACTTACGGATTGTCTCTATTTTATTATACTTCCTTTATGGTATACAAAATGGCTATATAGCTTGTTCACATTTGCGGCATTTTCTCTCCGATATGACCCAATTTAGTTAACAGCGATATTATTAATCGCTCTCATATTTAATTATAATGATATACTTATATAATTTTAATTAATCATAATATTTATTATAATTATATTCGATGTAATTATGAATATTTTTTCTATAGCTATGCAAAAGCAAAAGGTCGACATTTTAATCCAGCTCCCCGTCAACCTCCACCGCCGCACTATATGTGCTTTCGATGTCGCAAACCTGGACACTGGATTCAAAACTGTCCCAAGAATAACGTGAGTTTATCATGTTTTGTTCACGATTTATATTCATTTGACATCATTGGGCAATGGCATTACATATTACATTGGATTAACCTAGCATATATAATTCTCCCCCATCCCCAACCCACGTTCTGGTTATGCATAATTGTTCGTCAAGTAAACAGCTCAATCAGTGTGGTCCTACTAGAAACAACTCAAAAACAAAAGGTTAAAGCTTTCGTTATGACCTCATCAGCCTTCTTTAACAACCCATTGTTTAGTCTTGCACTGTTGAATTTACCCTCACTTATGACGTTGCGGCTGCTGTCTATGACGTCACTCGCATTATTTTATATTGCTCTATTTCGTGCTGTATATTATGTTCCAATCTCTCTTGTTACGTTTAAGCTGTCGGTCGTGACGTTGTTAGTGTCCGTTCTTTACCGCTTGTTTTTTAATGTTGTATCTCGTTTACAGGATCCAAATTATGACCTAAAGATACGACGAACAACTGGAATCCCTAAGAGCTTTCTTCGTCCCGCTGAAAAGCCTGGTCAGAAAGGAGCTTTGTTGGTGCCTGAAACTGGAGAACATGCTGTACCGATTGTTGACCAGTAAGTTTTACTTTCAAGGGTTGCGTGTCTTTAATTTAGGGGCAGATTTTCTGGTGGTGAGGGGTGCGCATCCCCAGCCCCCTAAATTCTCTAGCAACAATTCCGAAAAGTTCTAAAGGGGTATCACGTACAGTAGGGGTATCACGTACGATTAATATAGCAGTATTAGAGGCAATGGAATTGTACACTTATCATTTCAAAGCCAATTACGTATTTTAAACTATCACCATTTGCAAGTGACAAATATCCTGCGGGTTTTCATTCAAACATTAAAATTGAAACAAATTACTAAACGCGCTTGCATTTCAAATTTTTTAAAAACTAACAGCACTTTCATTACGCAAATTTCACTTTTATGTAAGCCTAAAAATTCACAGTAGCCCGGGGCCTTTGCAACTTTAGCTTGGGTAACGATGCACCCCCTTGAATAATTTGCAGCTCTCCTGTAAAATTAACATTGATTTACCACTGTCTTAATCCATTTATTAAAGCTTTGAAAACTAGTAGTTCTATCTAGCATTACTAGAAAGTAGTGTTATGACTCAATTTTTTACGAAGATGCCAGACTGGAGTATACGAGACGTAAAGTTTTAGCCTAACATTTTCTGAGATGAAGACACTCGAGTAGACTGGAGTAAAAAATGACTGGATTTTTATCATAAGCTAACTTCCGCATGTTGTAGCACTTGACAAAGTGTTTAAAGACTCGTGTTTCAAAATCAGTATACTTCTTCGATTGTGGCTTGATGTAGGAGGCGAGTTTGAATATTAAATCATTTCTGAACTTCAACTTTTCAAATTTATTTAGCATTGCGTACGAACAAGCGGCGTTAAAGAAACGACCGGCAGCCATTTCCAGTCAAGCAGAAAACGAGAAACCCGTTCCACCCGAGTATTTCTGTCCATTGTGTAAGAATATTATGAAGAATGCAGTTGTTGTTCCTTGTTGTGGGGAGAGCTTCTGCGATAACTGTAAGTCACCTGTTAAAAGAGTGAGGAGTTTGGACATTTCAGACAAACGACAAATTCATAGTAAACATTTTTATAATAGAAAGAGATCTTTTGAGCAGCTTGCATCTTGTTATTTACAGTGTTGAATAAAAAATATAATACGAAATATGATATGATGAATTTATCATAAGTAACGTGTCATAGGCAGGCAACAGCCAACGTGCAACTGGTAGAGTACGTACTAAGTTTGATGGAATGTTGATATGATATTGTGTGGCTGCATTTGTTTGCTAAGGTTTGGTTTTTAGTGTATATATGTTAAAAGCTTCTTGAGAAAGCGTCATAGATTTGTATTTTTATGCACTGTCAATACTGGAGATGATTCATTTCAACTGCATTACAAAAATCAAGTACTTTTGCTTTATAAGTATATTGGCCACCGTACTCAGTCATTGCCATTCGATTCTTTCTTGCTGAGATGATGTGTCTCGATGTTCACCCATTAGAACTAAGAACTAGATTCTCCCGAAATTCTATTGTAATAAGTGTGACAAGCCGCCATCTTGAAGGTAGCAAAATTTACAGTACTTAGTATTTGCCCCTGAAATATCCTTCTGCATATGTTGTTGTCTTATTGTCTTCATTTGTCATGCTATGTTTAGGTATAGAGAAATATTTATTAGAAAACGATCACGTGTGTTTTTCATGTCACTCGGAAGAAGTATTTCCTGCCTCCATTGTTGTCAACAAGCATCTAAGACAGGTAAGCTCCCGACAGTTGGTGATAAACGTTTTTGGAATAGCGCCATAGACATAGTGTTTTTTAAATCTATTTGGGTTTTTTGTTTGCAAGTGGCTGCAGAAAGAAGAAAGTATCAGTATAAATAACTGTTTCTTAGAAATGCAGTGAAACAAAATGTTAGATTGTTCGTTTTTGGGCCTACTTCCTCGCCACATAGAAAAGAAAAACATTTCATAAAGAAACCTTGCAGAAGATTGATAATGGGGGGAGGGGGGTGTTCTCATATTCATATATTTTTATGTTATAATTCGCTATCCCAATTAATTTCAATAGGAGCTAATAGAACATGCGTGTGTGAATCTCTCCCCAATTGTCGATATTTCGCGGTTCTTGATAAGTGTGATTTTTTCACTAAAGCCGTTATTCCCTACTTTAGTCAATTATTAAGATCCAGTCTTCAGGATTTGAGGCGGGAGGATTGGGTACAACCATGTCTTCACCAAGTGGACACAGAGATGAAGAGCAAGGAAAGTAAGTTTAATTCCATGTGTATTATGTAATATTACTAATATATTGATTCTATAATAAAGGATGACGGGCTCCTGCGTAAGGGCTCTTATAAAGTGGAACCAATAGGCATTTTTGTGACTAAAATATGAGCCAAGTGACGGTTGTTTGTTGTCAGTCATTATACAGGGTGTATCAAAAAACTGAACAGTTAACGCTGCTTCACCCGCGCCAAAAATTGGTGGAAATAGCGATATTTGCCGAAACGTTTGGTGGAAATAGCGATATTTCCTAACTGTTTTTTTTTGTGGGTAGCGGCTGAACATGCGCGGTTTGTATGTTTTTTGTTTTCTCAGGAAAATATGAAAATATCGCATGTTGTTTCGATATCTGAAATATTACGCATTGTTTTCTCATTATTCTTCTGAGCAAAATTTTTCGGCGAAGTAAGATCAAACTTTGTTTGCTAAATTAAGTTAAATTACAATATCGCCCCTCAAGTAATTAAACTTGAAATATTTTTGTCATATTTTATAGTATCTCGATTGCTCATTTGTGCTTTTTTATCGAAAGTTTACGGCAGTTTATTAATCTTGTAGTGCGTAGTGCGTAATATTAGGGACCTTAAGATTTCACGACGCGCGTTACAACTACGCGAGTTTGGCGCGCATGGCCTGGTGCGAATGCGTCCGCGTGTCATTGTAAGTTAAGTCATTAAGATTGGATTTCCTTAACGACGCGAACTTGTGAGTTCACTACCTATACTTTCAAAAAAATGGCCTCCTTCAAAAAAACAAAAAATGCTATAGCTGTCGCGTATGACGCCGCTTTGATAAACGAAGAAGAATTTGCGCTTTTGTATGATATTTCGCGATTAAAGAACAATTTAGAAATATATAGTGGCCCAAATTGATATATCAGTACCGTTATTACAAAGTAAGACAAATTTCAAAGCCACTGGATGTTAATTTAGCTAAACAATTAATTTAAATCACGATAAATTTAGTGGTGTGCTTGATGAGCAATCACTTGATGCTGATGAAAACTGTTCTGCCATTTTCTTGCCTTGCTAAAAGCAAAAATGTAAACATATTTTACTCACAGATAAATATCAACATATCAATCACATACCAGACTCCACAGACAATTGTAACAGGTGAATTAAAAGCTGAAATACTTACTTTAAAACTTTTTTTTGTGAAAAATTCCACACTCGATGTAGGACGACGTGGGATTAAGCAAAGACGCCGCGTTGTAGAAGCAAGACAAAACTCAACGACGCACGCACATGCGCATTGGTTTAAAATTCATTTCCGCTCGCGTTGTAGATGAGCGCGTCGTTAAATCTTAAGGTCACTATTATCATTATGACAATGAATCTGAGCGCACTATGTGAGTACAGTCACGTGACATGCAATCTAAGGGAGGGTGTTTGGTAAATGCAGTATAGATTAGAATGGTACTTTTCACGACACTTGTCATATTCCGTAATTTCCATAGTCCATTGACGTTATTTCATGTCATGCAATGGTTTCCCTCGTTCAGTAATTCTTGATTCATAAACTCAAAACCAAAGTTTCAGCCAAAAATAACTCTGACAATGACCTCCTTAAAATTTTCATTATAATACCATATCTAGGCAAACAGGGTGAGTGTTTGGTTTTCTTTGTGGAGTATTATCGCAACGGATTAAGTTCAAACTGCCGGTAACACAACATTCTCCACTTCATCGCTGTTCGTCGTTATTAATTCTATACGCCGTGTCTAGAATTAATAAAGTTCGCACAAAAATTGACAAAAATCGCAACTTTAGGCGACTGTAGAAACAGTTTGAAAGGCCAATTTTAATTCTGTTTTCAGAATTCTAATCAGAAAAGTAACTTTTATAAAAAAAGCCTCATTTAAAGCCTAGTGAAAAATTTGTTGCATAACTACTTTAAAAATCCCCATCAAACCTATAGTTATATATCAAACAATAAAGACATCAATTTTCTGTCGCAAAAAGTACAAAATTCTCTAAAGCGAATATTACATATGAATTTAAATGTCCTGGTTGTGGTCAAACGTACACAGGCAAAACTGAACGAAACCTTATCACAAGACTTAACCCAACATGCTAATTACAATAATTCTAGTGCTATCTCGCAACATTTACTCATTTGTCCAGACGCCAGCTACATCTTACACCTCTTTTCACTTCCTGACGTTGACTCCGACCCTGATCTCACACGCGTACCATTTAATTCTTGTAATCTAATTCCAAGTAACACCAAAATCTTTTATCCCTGTGATTATAATAATTCTTTTCATAAAACGCAATATGCCACAATTTAATAGTTGTCTCGAAGCCTGTAAGAAATTATCTCTATTTTAAATGTGAATATTCTCCCTAATTGTTCAGTCTTGTACCTCTCTCAATTGCGTAACTGTCACTTCTGCTTGTAAATAATTATACAAAAGTTTCACAGCTTGCTTTGTAAACTATTAGTCTGATGATGTCTTTGGAATAAAGGCGAAATATTACACACACTGTGTTTACACTCTTGTATCATCTTTAATATCAAGAAACGAGATGTCTGTATTCGGAATTTGTTTTATTTTGTTCTATTTAAAATTGTCTGCTTGTCCTGGTTATTTGACTATTCAGTGAGCAGATATCACTTTATTAATTCTCTAACAAGTTAGGTGCAAGTATTATTTAATATATAATATTATTTGAGTTGAGTTTATGTACTTAACTTTATGGCCACATACTTGATTGGCCACCCACGTGTACGCACGTACCTGTTTTTTTATACGCGCTCCAGCGTGGCAGCACACTTTTTTTGACATGTCTCAACCCATTTCCCTGCGCGACCTATATACTGGTGAAATCTCGATTTGTGTCAATCTGCCTGTTGACAATTCTGGGACGGGGAGAGGGATAATTTTACGGAATGAGGAGAAGCGCTTATTCTCAGTGAAGTAGAACCTTTCGGAACTTATGTATAAGTGTTAGTTTGATTCTAAAGAGTCTGAAATCCGAATAGATATGCGACCTAACCAACGTAATACAGTAGATACTAATTTTGCCCGAGTGATCACCTACATCAATTATAAGTACATACTTCGTTTGGCGAAAAACACATGAAATGGATTTAACGTTCCTTATTTAGCTTTTCTGTTCACATTGTTTTTCTTGCATTCTGATAACCTCTAAGTTCAATGTTAAGCATGTATTTGTTTTCTTTCTGTGTGGATTTAACAGAGAAATAAAACGCATGGTGCAAATTTAGCAATGATTTTGTGGCGACTCGATCCGCCTTCAAAACGTAGACATTTAATGTCAGTCGCTGAGAATCATCGGGAATAAGGTCCGATCAATTGTTTTAAAGAAGATTGTGGAAGTGAAACTACAGCTGTATAGTATTGTCTGTTTTTAGGTGTGTTAACATGCGTTCGATTTATCCGTTTAGTGAACAAAGTGTCATACTCCTCAAATAGCAATTTAAAGGAAAATTTTTGGAGATATAAATATACATCTTATCCAAAAATTGTTTTCATTCGAAACGGTAATGATTTCATCTTTAAAATTATTTGAAATGTGAAATGAAAAAAGACGTTAAACTTGAGAGATATTTATGGTAGAAGCTCTCTGTCGGCTTTCAGAACGCGTGCTTTTGTTTCCACTGAGCACAGGAGCACTCGCTCCATATAAGGTCAACAGTGCATTAAACTGCGTATGGCATGTTGATTAGATACAAAGAAAGCTTTAAACTTGTCGAAATATTCCTTGTCAATGCAATCTTAAAAGTTATAGGGGCTCGCATGTAAAATTACTCAATCATTCGAATAACCCAATCAAAGCGTACCTATGAAACCACCTAGATTGTTGTACACCAAGATGTGGCCCTGAGGGGTCCGACTGTACCTTGCAAATTTTTTCTGACATTGGGGAATGGCCAGAACTTCCCCTTGCGCTTATAACACCTAGTTTAGAAATATTACAAAACAGCACCTATGTGTTTTTACCTGTAATCTTTACAAATGTTTATTATACTTGCAACTAGTCCACTACAACATTTTAAATCGCGTTGTTTACAAATTGCTCGGTTCACTATATTCTTACCATCACTTGTAACGTAAGAAGTATTTGCTTTCAAGCAAGTTTTGAGTAATAATAATATGAAATATATGTTGTTATTTGAAAGAAAAAACGGAAGAAGAACAGCTGGGTAAAATACATTACTTGGAATGAAATATACATTGCTGTCTGTACTTTTAACCAGAGAATGTTCAATTGGCTTATCAATGATTTGGTCTGGTCTTTAAATAATCAATGACTTGGTGTGGTCTTTTGTCTTTATAATTTGGGGAAAAATGCAGAAGTTTTGTCATTACTCAACTCATTAATTTTATAAGCTTGAATAAAAATTGGATCAGACTCATATGCTATATCAAAGTTTGTACAAACAGTAACATTTGTAGGAAACAAGACTGTTCTATAACAACAGAATTGTTTATAATGCACAAACAGTAATTTCTCTTTCAACAAATGCCTCACCAAATAGAAGCCTATACCATTCGGCATGCATTAGAATTAAATTTTAACTATAATCACAGTTTCACAATCAATAAAGAAATCAACAACTTCACATTAGATTGATAGAATATTAAAGAACTACTGCATCCAACAAATATTTTAAGTCCGTAATTTTACAGCAAAAAAACCTTTGTTATCTGTCTGCATTAAGTTTTCATGCCTGGATCACATGTGCTTCAAAACTGAACTTTGTCCAACTATTGACAACACTGATTCAATGGCAGGCACAGTTTAAGTCAAAATATATTATAGCAGCTCAATTGTCAATTCAAAATAGTTTTTAGTTTTAGAATAGGATTATTAGGGATGAATTTCTAAAGAATATATTTTACCAGTTAAGTTGCCTCTACGGTTTCGAAATGTAAATATAACCATAAATGAGCTGCAGTGATTTATTTTGACTTACCCTATACCTGCCAAAGCATTGATTCAGATCTGGACGTATGTGTAGTAACATGTTTTCCTGGCCAAGAATATGCAACCAAAATGTCGAGTATTTTTGCTATCGCTGTTGTTGAAAACTGCCAGAATATACGTTCACATACGTAAAAACACCTATCAGTGGGTCATGATTAGTTTCAAAGCACGAACTAGTCAACCGCAAATGTCGCTCAAACCCATAAAATTGAGTTTGGTTTGCAGTAATTATTTACAAAAATGCCAAAAGCTTGATTGTGGATTCCGATATATTTAAAATTTCCATTAAACAAGGCGGAATTGTTTCATTATTATGCTCATTTAGCCCATTTCACATAGTTTCAATCCAAGTTTAACTTGCAAGTAGGAACTAAAATAGCGGCTACGCCCTCGCCCCAGATCCATTGTCCCAAGAAATAGAGGGCTCTGGTATGTCCCAATGAATAATTTATTTGTGTTGTTGTATTTTTTTTATCCAAATTAGGTTATTGTGTGAAGCGTTTGAATTGTGTCTATCACTTCAGCGACAAATTTCACGATAACCTAAAATTCAATACTCGTAATTTTCAATCCTGCACAATAATCCTACGCACTCACTGCCCATGAAGTAATCCATTATTACCACAATATGACACTTTGTTCACTTAACCGATAAATCGAACGCATGTTTACATACGAAGAAACCACAAGACAATACTATACAACTGTACAACTACACCGATGTGATAAGTAATCATTTCAACAATTCTTTGAAGGCGAGTCTAGCGTATAAAACCATGCCTCTTGTCCAATTTTTTTGCATAATATCAACATTGACACATTTACACTATTATTGATAACTTTGAGTATTAATTCTTAGTTGTTGGCTTTTAATTTGATGTGGAATATGTTCTTGTTGAGGCAATAAACAAATTAAATAATGTTCTCACATTGTTTTTGTTTATACAGGTCAACGCCTGTTACAGCTCCCAATGCAGAAGCTTCTGCTGTGAGTGTGTTAGATGAAACCAAGAAGGCTGCTTCGGGCACTTCTACACCTCCGACAGTTTCGCAGCTCACAGTAACTGTAGCTAAAGGTATGCATATTTTTATCGCGATGTTTAACTGAACTGTGCATATGTTTATACCCTTGAGTTGTGAGGATTGAAAATAATATTTTTGTCTTTAACAGTCACTTCTGCCCCAGTCACAATGTTACCGCCTGGAGTGGTTCCACCTACTCAAGCTACGATGATTGATCCGCGCTTGCAAAGGTTTGTTGATATGTTCTCAAATTCAAGACACTCCTTTCACTCCTGATCAAGACACTTGATCTAAGAATGGAAAACACTAGACTGGAATACGTATGGACTCAAATTGCAACATTAGATCATTCGTGATGAAAAAATTTTATAGCTATATTAGGGTTTAAGTTTCAACATTTTTTCTGATGAAGACACTTGGTGTTGTATAAGAACTCATATTTCGCTGTCAGATTACCACTGGAAAAAATAAGTGCTTAGTTTCTACATCAGATCACTCTTAATGAAGGCAATAGGCTAGAGCCTATTAGAATTCAAGTTTCAACATCTGATTATTTTAGTGAAGACAATTGACTGAAGCAGGTAAGTACTTAAGTTCTAACATTAGATCACTTGTGTTAAAAACTAAGGATTCAAGTTTCAACGTCAAATCATTTTTTGGCGAAGACAATGACCGCATTTTAAGTTTTTATTGATTCAGACAATCGTCATGAATTTAGTGAACAACTTCTACATGCAAAAAAATTTCCATAAACAATATAAGCATAAGTACAGAATTAGAAAAGATAGCGCACCCAAAGTCCTTGGTCGCTTTCAACAGATATTATACACAAGATAGTATTATTAGTTATATAAAAATTATATTACAAATTATGCGTTGTCATAGAGCTGTTGCCTTGCTTGTATCTGTTTAAACTCTATGCAGGTACAAGATAAGTGTATTGCAATAAAAACTACATAATTTCCCTTTTTTTTTGCTTCCAGTCTCCAAGTTTTCGCTGCTTTTCTTCTAAAATCTTTGTTCTAGCCGTTATAACTTTGCTATTACACATTTTTCCCAAAACAAATTTGGGAGTTTTTAAATCAATTTTTGAGATCTATCAGCATTAATAAAAACCCAAAACAAGTCATGTGCAGTTTACACTTTCACATTAGTTTACTTTTGATGAAGATAGTATTAGAAGAGTGAACCTGCCCTTTAAAATTTACCAGGTCTGAAGGTATTCTCCAGCCCATGGCAGTCCCCTTGCATGTAGCTACACCTCTTCATCGACCAACCTTCGTAGTGCCAGCTCCTTCCTTCCATCATACATCGCTGGTACATCCAACGGTCCCTGCTATTCCATCACCGTTCGGTCACCATATCGCTCATTCAGCCATGTTGCCCCCAACCAGACATCCTTTTGCTAATCTTAATGCTGGCATGATGAATGAAGAGGAGTTCTATCGTGCAAAGCAAAAACTACAAGAAAGGTTAGTTATCGCGTAGTGATTATACAATTGCGTTCACGCAGTTTACACCATAGAGTTCTATTAAATTACTTGGAGTGGAAAAGGGGTGTGGGCACGGGTATCAAAAACATGGATGCCACTAGGAAACTTTGGGTGAAAAACTTCCTCTTGAAAAATTGTTTTTATCATTCACCCCCCAACCTGTGGCTGATGGCTGAACTTAAATTGAGTACTAGACAACTGACTGAATATTGCATGTAAACTGTAAAAGAGAAGTTTTTGGGGGGTAGATGGTCAAGTTCTTTTTATTACGAAGCGCTGCTGCGAAGTACTTGTTCTGTTTATCGAATCAGTGCAAATTGCGGAGATGATGGACACGTATTCATACGACGAAAAAGGTGATGACTTTGGAGTTTTGTTCATTTTTGGCTTTGTTTGCTGAATCCCGATTGCTCATTATATGACAGTCGTGTCGTCTACTTTCTTTTTCAGCCATCTAGATTCTAGGCTCAACTTTCTTTATTTTTGCTGAGAATTGTTGCACCTAAATAACTAGCTTTAAATTTTCCAATTATATTATTATGCAGTTTTTTACTATACCGCAAGTAAAGGTAATGGTGATATGTTTTTATAAGTTTTGTGTTGTATAAATTGTTGACAAACCATAAAAAATGAAAATAAAGGATTTATTACACGATTCATTGAGTTTTCGTTTTGTATTTTTTCATTGTTACAGGACTACAAATTTGACTAATATAATAACCTCAACACAAATTGTGTGGTTTTTGATTGTCATGTTAATTTGTTATCAAACAAAACGAGCTTCTGCTACTTTTTTGCCTGCCAATGAAAGTTGTAAAATAAAGAGGAGTGGTGGTGAAAATCATTGATAATACACCAAATATAAACCATCGACTATAAGCATCAACTGTAATGATAAAAGATAAATTAAAATGAGAAAATATTAAAGAAAATGAAGTGAAAAAAGCGATTGCAAAAAATTGAAAAAGTAACTAAAAAAGCGACGGCACTGAATTGTTAAGCAATAAGTACATTCATAAAAATTATATTCTTTCTTTCTTATCGGTGCATTGAAAACTTTTCATTTGCTGTACTATTTTGGCACCCAGGTACCGCACAATATTTCGGCATTTTAGAAAGAAAGTTTTGAAATATAAGACTTGCTAAGTATAACGAGTTACGAGTTACGACGGCGCAATAAGAATATGAAATTTAAAAATATTCTGGGGAGTGCAAAACTTTTCTTTGAATGAGGCAACGTCGTTTTTAACCCAAAATTTGCTGTATTTGGTATGACGGCATCCATGCTTTTGATACCCGGCCGCTCGTTAATAAAATATAGTAATTTGGATGTGGATTTCCCGTCCAAGTAATTAGTATACAGGTCAGTGGTTTAAACTAGGTGCAGAGAAATTGTAGACTGTAAACTGCAATTTTGAAGTTTACTGCAAACTTAGTTTTTTTAAATTTTTGCGACTAGGGTTTTTAATTTTCTACTTTTATCTCTTTCACTTCAAAAAACTCGAAGGCCTTCCATTTTAAATTCAAAAATGGCAGTAAAGTCGTCGCTATACACTTTTTTAGTTTTTGAACATTACAAATAGTTAGGTGATGTTGTTCATTCTTATCGCTTCCTTATACAGAGTGTGTAAAAAAGTGAACTACTTAAACATTTTTATTAGACATAAATTTAGCCTTATATGTTTTGGGTTGTTGATTGTGTGGGTACTTTCGAATTGCGTGATCCAAACACAGGCATCGACTAATCAGAGCACGCGTTTTGCTTATGCTACTTTGTAATGGTATTTCCCTTTTTTTTGCATTTGTATTTCCTACTTTGTGCACATCTCAAAACAGAAAAAGAGAATTTTTCGTTTGTGTTATTACATAAATTGATTTTTAATTCTTTATTTCTGCCTGAACAACCCCTCAAAATGTGCTTTTTTACCACTTTTTCTCAAATTTTCAAGGTTGAGTTTTCTGCTGTTTTTTAGTGTTCACTAGCACAAATGTACGAAATAATTGATTAAATTTATAGTCTACTTCGCATTTCAAAATTGTCCACTTATTTTTTTTGTAAGCAAGAAGGGTAAATGTCTTTAATGTGAGAACTTCCTGATAGCGTAGGGATTATTGTATGTGGAATTCACATCCTAAATTTTTTTCATTATGAAAATCTGCGCTATTTACAAAGCATAAAACCGCAAGAATTTTTTTATTCGGTTTAATTTACGCTTTTTATAGACTTAAAAGTTAGTAAAATACGTAATAATCAAATGTCATTTTGTCCCACCACCGTGAAACTGGTCCTGGGGAGGACATGCATTGTGACGTCACGAGGTGAACTCTCTTGTTCTAAGTATTGAAGATGTGTCTTTGGTTGACATCGAAATAAGCGACTATACACAAAAAGCTTCTTCGTCGCCTCTACTTAAACGATATTGTTCACCTCGTGACGTCATGCGTTCTTCTCTCGTCAGTCTCACGATTTTCGGTCGTGGGAAAAATGTGTACTAACTTTGCGAGTTTATTAAAAAGTGATATTTTATTCGAATAAAAAAATTCTTCAACTTTCGTATTCCATAAAAATTGCAAATTTTTGTAATGAAAAATAAAATTAGGGTGTGAGTTCCACTTTCAGTAAAGTAACCCCTCATGACGTGTTGTCAAATATATGCAACTTCTGTTTGCTGTGACATTGTTATTTATATTGTTTTTTTCTTTGCCGTGATAGACGAAAACGACGTAAAGATGGTGGCGATAGAAAAAGTCGAACGAAGAGGGATCGCAGCCCGCGAAGTCCAAGAGATCGACGTGGATCACCGGGCTCACGGCGATCACCTTTTGACCGAAAGCGGTCACCTTCTTGGTCTTCATCTAGATCTAGCTCACGTTCGTCGAGGTCGCAGTCATGGTCGAAATCTCCGTCGCGTTCTTATAGTCGCTCAAAATCGCGCACACCAATAAACTGGGACCGGTCACGTTCTCCGTCGCTCGAACGAAAACACGGTAGACATGAGGACGACAGAAAACGACGTCATGCACATGATTCCAGGAAACAATCTAAACATGATCAGTCTCATATTTCTGAGAAAGCTGTTGTGAAGTCGAAAGACAAATCAAGGATTTCCAATCCTGACACGATGAAAAACAAATCGCAAAAGTCATCAAAGAAAACAACCGAATCTTCTCGTAAAGAAGCAGTTAAAAATGAACCGGCCAAGGAAAAAATGGAGACAGGTACTAAGGCATGTAAAAAAGTCGAATCATTCCGCGATGACATTGGTAGGAAGGACATGAAATTGAAATTTAACGATAAATCGAAATCTGATTCTAAAAGTACTGAAATGATTAAGAATGTCAGCTCAAACCAATCGAAAACCGACCACCAACCTGTTGATGCAAAGTCGAGGAATAAAGTCGACAGCAGGAGTGAATCGGCTAAGGGCACGAAGAATCCCAACATAACAGGGTCGAAAGCTAAGGGCGTTGTCAACACGACATTGAAGAATAAAGATACGAAAGAGAAGAGTCAAAGGAATGTAGAGCAGAAAAAAGGTAGTAGAGAGGCCCAAAGTAAAGATGGCGAAGGCAGACGGACTAAACGAATGTCAAATTTACCAGAACCTTCAACGGAGTCGTCATCAAAATCAAAATCTCCTAAACACGACTCTAAAATTTGTAAGAAAACAGAGAAAATGGGAGGATCATTTCGTGTAATAAATGTAATAAAGGTTAATAGCAAGTGTGCTGTCTCTGATAGGAATAAGAATAGTGTATCAAAATCAGATAAAGCGAGTTCGAGAAGCGGCAGTAAAAAAGATTTCTTAGAAACTTCAAGAGATTTGCAGAAGTCGTCTACCAAAGACTCAACGAAGAATCGTGAAACGGAATTGAGTGGAAGCAGTTCACAGAATGAAAAACCTCGCAAAAAAACTGTTTATAAAACGAAAAAGAAAAATGTTGAAATGTCGACGGGTAAGAGCGAAAAGTTTATTGATAATTTGCAACGGCAAACTACTTCTCCCAAGACCGAAAGAAAGCGGAAATCTAATCGGGAAGGTAGTGCTTTATCGTTTAAAAAGGATAGAACTATAAAATCGGAAGGAAAAGGTGGTGAAAAACCTATTGTGCCAAAGACTACAAAACAGTATAAAAATGAAGGACCGACTCTCATAAAAACGATTACGTCAAAAAAGTCTACGAATAGTAGCGAGTTAGATAATAGTAACAAATCTAGTGTGTCTATAGTAAGGAAATGTTCCATATCCGATTTGAGAGATATTGTGATTAAGAATTCTGATCGATTAGATTCTGCGGGTAGCGATGAAAAGTCTATTAAAAAGCGGAAAGTTTCACGAAAGCGATCGAAAGATAATGAGGACAATTCGGACGATAGCTCAGACAAACCGAGAAAAAAGAAGAAAAAGCGATTGTCCGTCTATGAAGAAGATCATAAAGATCTAAAACGTAAAAAACGCAAACACAAAAGGAAACATCGCAAACATAAGCATAAGAAGAAGTCAAAGCGAAAAACAAGAAGGCCTGAAACAAGTGAGGAGTCAGAAGATGATTCCGATCGAGAATGCGACTATAGTGACAGTGACAAGAATGAAGATGATTCATTTAAGGTTCACAAAGGAAATAGTGCCATTGAATTTGGAGTGGGCCAACATTGGAGCAGGAAGTTTGAGCATATTGCTGAAAAGAAAAGTTTTGAAAGCGACCGATCAACACATAGGTGTAAAAATTTAACTAAGGCAGATTCATATGATGATGAAGATAACGATGACTGGAGTGCTATTGATAGTTTAAAAGTTGAAGTTAACACTGGTAGTTGTGATGTCAGTGACGATGACATTTATCTCGAGGACGTCGTGGAACAGGGCACCTCTGACGAAGAAAAGTTACAACATGATGAAGATGATGAGGACGAGGAACTTGACTATGATGAAGATACGGTTAAGGATTATGAAAGTGAAGAGGAGCTGAAGGTGGATCTTGAAGGGAAGATAGAAGCTGATGAGAAGGAGGAGGATTATGTTGTTGAAGAGGAAAAATCTGACATGGAATTTGAATCAGATGAGGGTGTTTCCGAGGAAGGTGATGATGATTGTGATACAGTTAGTGATAAGGTTGATTCTGATCTAGGAAAAGATGATGAAGAAGAAGATATCGAGGAAGTCAATGATCAAAAAGATGAGGAGGAAGATGAAGAAATGGATGAAGGAGAAGAAGATAATGAAGTGGAAAAAGAGGACGATGTGGAAGAAGAGGACAAGGGAGAAGAAGAGAACGAGGGAGAAGAAAAGGACGAAGGACAATTAGAGAATGTTGGAAGTGCATTAGAGGATAACGATGATGAAGATGATGAAGTTGATGGTGATGATGATGGTGAAGATGGTCAAGATGATAGTGAAGAAGTTGATGACACAATCGAAGAAAATAATAGTGATAAAGAAAATAAGGTTCAGATGGAGGTTGAAGAACCCGATGATAAGGATGAAGTTGTTGAAGAAAAAATTGATTTGGATAATGTGGTCATAGATAAAGACGATAAAGAGAATGATTTAGAACAGGACGTGACACAGGAAGATAATCAAGATGAGGTTGAAGAAAAAGAGAATCGGGTGAAAAGAGACGCAAATATTGAAGAAAATGAAGAAATGTCGGGGCAAGAGAGTGAAAAGGAACATGAAAATAGTGAGAATAAAGACGTAGAACACGAGCAAAACGAGGAGCAACATGAACACCATGAGGAAAAACAGGAATTGGAGGAAGAGCAAATTCATAAAGTAGAAGTTGTAGAAATAGAAGTGGAACATGACAATCCCGCTCAACAACAATTTACTGAGATTAGCGACGAACCTGAACAAAATAAAGTTACTAAAGTTGGAGTAAATGATGAACTGGAAATAAAAATGAGCGTCAATGAAAATGAACAAGTAGACCCAACAACAGAATTTGAACTTGAGAAACATAAAGAAACTGAAAGGGAAAATATTTGTGATGAAGAAAATGAAGGAGAATCAGTAACTACAAGCGTGAATAGTAGGGAAATTGCAGGTAATTTCAACAACAACACGCACGACGAAATCGTCTCTATGGCTACGGACGATAACAGTTGTGGAGGGTATGTATTTCGACATAACGTCGATGGTGACAATGAAACGGAAGATTTATTTGACGAAGCTCTGTTAGGGACTAACGAGGATGACTGGAACTATAATCAAAATTGCAATGTTGATGAACTGTATGGCGATGTTGACGTCAGCTTTCAAGCAAGTAATTACGTACACTGTGACGTTTGGAGTGGGGATAACAGGGACGTCGTGCTGGCTGTTGACAAGGTTGCCATTTCGAATGATCGAAATAAATTGGACTTTAAAGAAAGGGAGTGTACTACTAATAATGTTAATAATGGCTGGAGCGGAAAATCGTGTCACTCTTATCCGTGCCTTGATTCAGGAGTAAGCTCCGCTAAAAACACGCGAAGTGAGGAGTCACGTGACTCAAATTATAGTGCGTTTTAAAGTAAAATACTTCCCTGGCTTTTTTTACTCGGCTAATCGCGAGTACGTTGTGTGATTGAGTCTCTTTAGTCTTACTTCTACTTAAATTATTTCCTGCATTTTCTCTGCTATCGTACGTATCACAAGGAACCTTGTATAAAAAATTTTAGTGCGGATATTCTATAAAGTGATCAGCCGTGTGTCTTTTGTATGTCGTGTGTTTTGTATCTTTACTGGGTTTTTTCAAACAGAATGGCGTTTTCATAGTGTCTTCAAATAGCGTGCGAAGTGCTATTTCATGTATTCTTCCTTGCCCTCGTCTTGTTCCAGATTCTGACGTGTCGTGTACAAGCGATTAATCTGGAAAATTGAAACAGTAATACCATTTTAATTGACGGGGTAGGTTATTTGTGAATATGTAATGAGGAGTATTAAAATTTTTGTACAATGTTTTTCTTCATGAGAGTAATACATATTTTGTATATCTTAAATTTGTGTCTAACCTGATGCATGTTACGGGAAGTTGCGTGGCTACCTATTTTTGGAGGTATGTGCCTGGCTTGTATATGTAATAGCATGGTTTCGAGTGCAATTTGGGGAAAACATGCTCGAGTGAGTTTTTCAAAGACCTCAAATTGCATGAGTTCAATTTGAAGTCTTTGAAAAACTCACGAGTGCATGTTCTCAAATTGCAAGAGAAACCATGCTATTACTTAATACTATAAATGAAAAAATTCCACGAGCTGCCGGAGCGATTTTTATAATAAAATAAAAAAAATTCCCAAATTAAACCGTCAAACAGTTTGTTTTCTTTATCACCCAACACTTGGAACATTGAAAAGTCTTGATTTTGCAAATATCACGCTTACGTGATCTATAGGATTGAAGAAATGCTATTGGCTAGCTTAAAAACGTGATAAAATGTGTTTGGCTAACAAAATAAACGAGCAATGGCTGATCAATTTTGTTGAAATTTTGTAATCGAAGACGAAGTACAAATTAATGTTTAAAAACCGGGTTTTTTCTTTTTTTTCAAATACGTTAACTGCCTCAACTAGGTCGTCATGAATATCTTTATTTTCCCATTCAGAGAGGTATTGCGATAATTTTTTAAATATACCCGCCATTTTTTTGTTTTTATAAACGTGAAATTTTCTGTGACGTCATTCCGTACGTACGTCCTCTTATAGATCATAGCTCTCGACCATTGAAATTGCTCAAATTCTGGTTATTATATAAATGCTAAATAATACATGCAAAACTAGAAGATGAAATATTTAAAACATAATACAATATTTATGGTCCGTCGGCACACATATTTCTCATCAAAAATTATATAAATAGCAAAAGTATTTGATTAATAAATTCAAATTTTTAAAAAGGTTATTCAAATTTTACTAAATGTAAAAGGTGAAAAACTTGAATTTTTTAACATTTAAAGTCCTGGACCACAAAAGGTTAAAACAGATGAGTAAAAGGTTAAAACAATTTTTTTCAAAAGAGGTACGCGTTTTATACTTTCTCAAGTCATTGTGAAAAAGTTCCATAGGGAAGCTCCATCAAACCAAACTTTTCATATGATTAGTACGTGGTCTAGGCAAATGAAGTAAGCTGTGGCACCCACGAAGACTACAGTTCAAAAGTTCATTTTTTAAAATAAATAGGTTCGCAGACAATTTTGCTCTGTGTTATATAGCGTTTTGAACATCATTTTTCTTTCGTATTAAACCACTGTGCTTTTTAAAGCAATTAAGGCAATTTCCTGAATCATTAATTAGGTAAATTTGCTACTGATTTGTAAAGAACTGTAATACTTTTTTGATGTAATACTTGTTTTATGAGTCATTTTAACAGTAAAAAGCAGAACGTCTCAATGTTAAATGCCCTTTTCATAAGGAAAGTGCTATAGAAGTTCTCCCCCCCCCCTTCCCACCAACTTAAACGTGCTTTATACGCTCCTGCTGTTTCTTCACTGCAAAATTGTTTGTTGTACAATATTATGGAATCTTGATTGTGATTGGCTAAAAGCAAAAAGATAATTCTGAATGTCTGGTTTCCTCTAAAACATTAAAATTATCCGTAGGTGACGTAATTTTTAATGTACCATTGAAAACACAAAAAGTATAATGGCGGAATCTTCCTCGGACTGGCAAGCGTTTTACACTCGTTGTTTACGCTCGAATTATCTAGGATAAGAACGTCATATAGGCTACACTGTCAGTCATAAGGGTTTAAAAGCTTCTGCATTTATAATTGACAAAAAACAATTGTTGAATTCGGCTTTTGTATCACATCGAGAATTATTCAGACCCCGGTCAATATTATCCACCTCAGCTTCGTTTTGGTAGCAGGGGGTGTCATCAAAAAGTTAATTAGGGGTGTATATTCATGTATTAGTTGTACCTGATTGATTCAAATAAATTGGCTTTCCATAATTAGCTAGCAGCACGAAACAATGAGACATTTTAAACATAAACCACACATATTTTGAACTTTTTTAATGCAAACATGTTTCGACATTCTTATGCCATCTCTAGTGCAAATAAAAAAAATATGTCCACATTGTGTTAATTTAAAATTAAATATGATATACAAAAGGCAAACAAATGAAATGAACACAGAAGTCATTTACAATGCTTGTGTGATTGTATACTATGTAGTCTAGTAACTCCATTTCTTTTGCCTATATACATATCATATTTCATTATAATTAACCAGTAACCTATTTGTAAATATTTTTCTTTCATTCTGAAATGAAAGCATAAGTATGCCAAAACATGTTTGCATTAAAAAAGTTCAAAGAACATGTCCTTTATGTCAAATATTGAATTGGGAATAAATGAAGATATGAATATTTACCCACCCTATCCTCCATTCACGTTCTAGTTCAGGCTAATAACGTTCATCTCGGTCTGAACAATTCCTGATATCATGCTCAACTTTATTCAATACAGCCGATTCACATTGTGTGTTGAACGGAAATCTTTGTCACGTTCGTTGTGGCAGTTGAAAACTGATGTTTCCATGCACATAAAGATACGTTACTAAATGTATCACCATTATCCATGATCCGTCAAACGGAATGACGTGGCTTTTGACAAAAATGAGTAACATTAATTACTAAATAATTTATTTTAAAATCGTTGAATGAAGCGTTTTACAGATTTGCCAACCATACATTCACTGTTATTTACATAAGACAATGAAGATTGCGCAGTTTGTATAAAAATGTAAATTACAGCACCTGGAATTCATCTCCATGATCGTTAGCAACGTCTCTTTATGTGCATGGAAACAACACTTTTCAACGGCTTTGACGAAAGTACCTAACATTTCCGTTCAACGCTCAATCTTAATTGGCTGTAATTAAGCAAAAATGAGCAAAAATACTTACAATTTTCTCGAAGAATGTTCATCCAGCAGTTTGTGTGAGAGTCTTGATGAAGTAATCAATAATAGTCTGTAAACAGTTTAAAATTTTAAATATTATAGCGCTGTAGTTTTATTGGGTTCTTTCACCCGAGGATCGTCGTTGAACGTGAAACACTGTGTAGTGAATCATATTAAAATATTGTTCATATATAATTAATAGTTATATTGCTCTATCTGAATTGATATTGAGCACTTTATTATTTTGTATACATTTGATTTGATATTATATTATTTATAATTGTATGTTGAAAAATAAAAGTTTCTCCAGTCTTTTTAAATTATTTTATTAAACTTTCGACAAGGTGCTTCGAGCCTTTTTCAGAATATGGAAGTTATTTGTATTTACATTTGTTTTTTTTGCTTTTAGACGTTTAGAGCGTCTAATTGGATTAATGGATGGTTAAGATGATTGGATGAAGTGAAATGCGTTGTTATTGGTTTTGGTGTATTGTGAATATGATTGGTGTTAATATTAATAGAGTGCATTGATGTAGTTTTGATCTTGTTAGTAGATATTCTAGATTTTGCTGTTGAAATCGAGCATTTGGTCAGTGTGGGAAGTTTTGCGGTATACTTGTGTGTTCGGTGTGCCGCCATCTGCAGAGGCGTAACTAGAACGTTAATTGGGAGTTCATATTCATATATTCCGTTGTGCCCTACTGATTTCTTTTGAAAGTGAATTGAATTTCAAAAGAAATCAGTAGGGCACAACTGAATATATGAATATACACCCCCCCCAATTAACGTTCTAATTACGCCTCTAATGATCTGTTCTGGTTGGTAGGATATCAAGGAAAGTAAGTTGTTTGTCGTGTTCTTCGTCTTTAGTGAAGGTTATGTTTCTGTGGTATTGCTTATGGTGTTTAGGATTTGTTCAGTTTTGTCTTTGTTACCCGTGCGAAAATTTCACATTTGATTTCATAAATGAAATCAGAATTTGAAATATCAAATAGACATTTTCTTACATGAGAGAAAACATTTCACATATGAAATTACATTTTCACATGTGAAACTGAAATGTCACTTATAAACAGTCAGTTTCACACGTAACATTTAATTCTTCACATGTAAATTTTTCATATGTGAAAAACAATTCATATGTAAAATCACCCTTTCACATATGAAATTCCAGTTTCATCCATGAAACGTCTGTTTCTCATATGATATTTACACACATGTAGAAAGTTGTATTCGTATATCTGAAGTCAGTTACACAAGTGAAATTTTAACTTTTTATATGTGAATGAATTGTTTATATGTGAAACACATTTCCACCTAAAAATTTTGACTGTGAATTACTGTCACTAGAAAACTGATATTCTCGCAGCATCTGAGGCCATTTTGTTGTACTAAACATTTCCATATGCTGTATGATTACCATGATACATTGTTTACGTTGTTAAACAATCTTTTGACTTTTTAGCGGCTTCTAGTTCAAAAAATACATAAGTTTCCAATAACTTTAAATTTTATTTATTTTTCACGTTTTCAAACACACAATTGCTAATATGCAATTTGAACTCGTACAAATCTTCGGTATGTATTTGTACGATGTATTTTTATGAGGCGTGAAACGCGACATTATTCACGTGATATTGAAAATTGATCAATATTTGGATTTTTAGTTCAAAACTTTAAATTCAAATTTCAAGCACGACTTATTCAAATGCCGTATCTGAAAAAAACGTGTCAAACGTCAATGAGCCATTCGCTTTTGCAAATTTTTAGTTAAATCGAAAAATATTTGCTCAACTTTAAAAATTGGTTCTAGTTAATGCAAAATTATGCATGTTAATTTATGCGACTCGGTTTGTTATTCATTATGTCGATATGCTTGTGTATCGAAGAGTTGGACAAACTATTTTCGACGTGGAATTTCTCTACTTTTTGCAAACTGTCAAATCAGTAATCGTGGAAGTTCACACTTCTTGTAATGCAGCTTCTCTAGACCAATTGGACCTGCTTGAATTTCGTCTGGAAGAAATTTCTTCGTCTTTTTCATTGCTTGCAGAAGGAAGAGACTATACATTGACGGTGCAAAGATTGTTCCATTAATTTTTAGTTCACGCAAATCAAATAAACGATAATATTAAATATAAGTGTGACATTCTAACATCCTGCCCCTTAACACAATCGGACAGGAGAGGACGTCCGAGATACACAGTAGAAAAAAGCAAGTATATGCCATACACAGTACAAAATCATCGGGATATGCCATGTAACGGATATTGAACACGAAATTGAAGAAGCAGCCGCCGTCTCGGATAGAATTCTAAGCACTAGACGTAAAATCGAAGAAGCAAGAAAACCGGAGATTTGATAATAAAGTATAAAAAAGAAGGCAAAATCCTACACCACAAGTCGAACAGATTCCTTTAGTGGTAGAAACAGCAAGCACGAGTAACACAACGATAAGCAACGATGACAATAACACGAACACGAATGCGGTTAATTGAAACACGATTGCAGTTAATACGAACACGAATGCGGTCTATACGAACACGAATGCTATTGATACGATTACGAATGAAGTGATTCATACGAATTCTACGACTTTCATGCCCCTAAGAGAACAACACCGGCGATAATGATGCCAAAGGTTCCCAAACCGCAATTGTCAAAATTCAGTGGGAAGATCACAGAATGGAACGCCTTTTGGGAAATATACAATGCTACGATTCACAGCAACGTGAGTATGTCTAAGGTAAACAAATTCAATTACCTATTCTCATTACTTGAGGGTAGTGCAGCACGTTCGATAAAGGGACTTACCATAACATCCGCAAATTATGACGCAGCGATTGTGATTCTGTAAAATGGATTTAGTCGAACCCAACAGGTCATTGCTGCACCTATGGATCAAATCCTACAAATATCAGCATGTTCAGAAAATCGCACTGGGCAATTTTCGTGTTACCTGCAATCGTTTTCGATGAAATAAATGTTCAAGTGCGAGGACTTGATTCGCTTGGGGTATCTGCAAACCAGTACGGCAGTCTGCGAGTACCAATTATTATGTCCAAACTACCCAGTGAAATACGATTGCAGGTAACACGAAAAGCTACTAGTGATGTTTTGAAAATTGACGAGTTGCTTAAAACCATAAAGTTTGAAATTGAGGCTTCGACTGTACTAGCGAAGTTAGTAGAGCCTTTGTTAGAGGCACTCAAGTGGAGTCTGGAAGTTTTTTATTGGGTTGACTCGATGACAGCACTTCACTAGATTTGAAACGATCGAGAATGGAGACCATTCTTGCAGCATCGAGTGAAGAAGATTCGAAGTATTTCGTTGACGGAATCTTGGAACTTTTGTCCTGGATCACTTAATCTGGGCAACTACTTTCGAATTTTTCCTTATGGTTCAATGTACCCAAATTCTTGGAAAGGGGCGAAGATGAATGACCAAAACGTCCAGTTGGCAACCTCTCACAAAGTGACGAAGTTCTGAGAGAAATTGTGAAAGAGCGTCCGAATGTCGTGAGATCACTAGTTTCGAATGAAATCGAACAACGAGCCACGCCAGATCTTAACAAAGCAATCGACATTACTCGTTATAGCTCCATGAAGAAACTTCTTCGAATAACTGCTTATGTAATGAGATTCATCAACATGTTAAAGAAGATGCCACGGTGCAAGCGAACAACAAACAAACTCAAAACCTCAGAAGAACTAAGCTCTGACGAAATAAGCCGCAGCTGCTATGGATAAGGTCTATTCAACAACTATCCTTTGAAAAAGAAATATTATTCCTTCTGTCAAAGAATGCGAATCCTTCAATACCTATTTATGTTAAGCAATTTGGGCTATTTCTCGACGGTGATCACGTCCTGCGGTGCCATGGAAGACTGAAGAATTCATCTCTGAATCTGGAGAGCAAAATTCCTGTATTGCTTCCAAAGGAATCAAGATTTGTCGATTTATTAATATACGAGGTTCACCACAATGTGAAGCACCGCGAGATTCGTGATACACTAACAACCATTAGAGAGCATTTTTGCATAATCAGTGGTCGAGAAGCAGTGAAGAAAATCGTCAGGAAATATGTTGTTTGTCGTAAAGCTGAAGGTCTTCCTTATGGGGGAACGCCTCCTCCAGATCTTTCTGTTAGCAGACTGTCGGATGATCCCCCCTTCACAAACGTAGGGTTGGACTTTCCAGGACCGTTGTTCGTACGAGAGAGTTGCTATGGGAATAATTTGTCGGATAATCGAACAAAGGCGTATATTCTGTTGTTTACGTGTGCGTCTACTAGAGCCATTCTTCTGGAGTTTACTTCCTCCTAAAGCGTTTCAGCCTTTCTCCGCACGTTCCTCAGATATGATAGTCGACGAGCACTGCCAGCTCTTCTTATATCCGATAATGCTAAGAATTTTCGAGCTGCATGCTTAGAAATTCGCAAGTTGTTATGTCGTTCTGAGGAAGTGTTACGCTATCTTGCAAACCATCAGATTACATGGCAATTTATCGTCAAAAAGGCCCCTTAGTGGGGACGCTTCTGGGAACGTTTCATTCGAAGCGCAAAATGTCCGTTGCGAAACGTAGTTCGTAGAACCAACTAACCTATGACGAGTTGCATACTATTGTGGTTGAAATGCACGACCCCTAACCTACGTGTACAAGGATGAATCTCTTCCGCTAAGCTCCTCGCACTTGGTGTATAGAAGACGAATAACGACCATGCCAAACAGTGAGGCCTTTGAAATTCAGAGTCAAAAGATGACTACCGCTAAGGTTGTCGAAACGTCAGTCAACAACAACAAAAACAGTCCTTCTCAGGACTATACCAACCTGGACGATCTACATTTACAAACATGTAACGATACTCCCGGGTTCAAACCATTTACTTTAAAGATTGATAAAAAAGTATAGTTCAGTGCATGAGGAGATCAGACTAATAATTATAAATGCAAAATAGAAAGAGAAAACATGTCAATCATACGTTAGTGAAATATACATATAGAAAGCAAATAAATCTTGTTATTCCGTCCAAAGATTTGTGAGTATATTTCGAATGATCATAAAAAACATTGGCTACATTTTTTTTGATTGTTCTCACAAAACCAAAACAAAGTTAAAAGAAAAATTACAGCAAAGTTGTATGAAGGAATTAAAATAACTCTCATGATGAGGTTCGTTATCTCATATAAAGCACAAAACACTTCAAAATTTAGGTAAAGAACTAACAAAACAAAATTAAAGCAAGAGATAGGTAAAATCAGTACTTTGTAGTTTTATATCCAAATTCATAAATCTACCCACTGCTTCCCATTTATAGCGTTGATAATCATACCTGATTAATGGAATTTTTCTGCTGCACCATTGTTAATGCAGGAAACAATTGTTGCCCAAACAGACTAACAACCCCACGTGTAACACCTGAACCTCTACCATCTTCAATATCACCGCTTTCATCAACAATGGCAATACTTAAAGAGCTGCTGGCAATTGCAGGATCGTTCAGGTAAGTATAGTCGTGAGAAGGACTGTTTTTGTTGTTGTTTATTGACGTTTCGACAACCTTAGCGGTAGTCATCTTTAGAATCAAATGAGGAGTAAACGTCAGGTTAGGCGTATTTGTTATCTGGTTCTTACGTCATTGTATTGCGTGTACATTGTAATGTGTGGGTGTTAATTGTGTATTGTCATTGTGAATTAGTGTGAAGTGTAATGTTTTTATTCCAAAGCCATCATCAGAGTATATATATAATATATTAATCCTAACACGGTTTTTAATATGTACATGATAAACATGTGACTTGGACGAGTTCATGTTTTAGTTGATCGTTTGACGTAATGTTTTTAGTTGATCGTTTGTTTGTATTGTGAATAAGTCCTTTGTAAGGTGCCGGTAATTTCTGAGATCTGTTCAGAGTGGTTGCTCCAAGTTGGTATACCAACTTTCTAATGTAAGCCGTTGTCTATAGTCACTACTGTAAGTAATGCATTTGGCAGCTTGAGAAACAACAGATAACATGTTATTAATTTTAACGTTAGAAAGAGTGTCACAGACAGACAAATTTAGTCGATGACTGTAACAGTAAGTGTACACTCTAAAAACATCCTGGTTAAAAATAACCAGGATGGGGTTAAATCTTAACTAGGAAAGTATTCCAAATGTGACCAACGCAATCCTGGTTATTTTAACAAGGAATCGGGGTTGAATTAATTAAACCTTATTCTGGTTAAATTCAACCACGACCTAATGTTAAAATTTTGACACTTGTCCCAGTTAAAATTAACTAGTTGCCTTGTTAAATTCCTGTGTGATTCTTAGTGATTCATTGAGAGAGCATATTTATGCTCAAAAAGTATATTTATTTAAGAAGAAAACCTTGCACGGACACAACTTACATTTAGTAAATCTACAAACAGAAGATAGACAAGTATCATGTATATTAACAACAGGTACATGCAATAGCTGGAGAAGTCTAGATTTATATCAATATATTTTCAGCGTCAATGGTCTGATTACTTTAATGCTGCTCTCATTGCAACAACAGCAGGTGTAGTGCTCTGTTTTCCATGGTCCTCAATGCCATTCAAAATCTTTTGCATAAACTCCCACGACGAACAGCTCTGCCATGGTTAATTAACATCAAGTACGTAAAATAGTTTAAAGCAAACATCAATTGCCCTGACAAGATTAGGCTGCTCCAAGCCCTGGCTTTCGATTATAACGAACACTTGCGTTGGGTAGTATCGACTACCAGTTGCTAAAACAAACGGCCATCTTGAGGCTGTTTCTCAACATTTAGGTATGTTTGTACCGACCTAAAAATAATTAAACAGTAGACTTGAGACTTTACATCAAATACACGAGTTTGATTATGCCATTATGCGATATATAGCTACTGTTGGAAGAAATGATCAGAAAAAATAAAATCCAAAAACTAAGCCAAATTCTTATTGATTTTGCTATTTGTTGTTCTCTAGCACATCTGATACCGAAATTTTTGAAAATGGTGATGATGTAGCATTTTGTGCAAAACAGTACATGGATATATTGACTTTCGTCTTTTTTTAAATAATTGATATTTGTCACTGTTTCATAGGACTTAAGGAAAACTTTCTCAGGAAACAAATGCTCATGTTTTCAAACATTTTATTGGTAACAGCACGAGACAATGCTATAAAGTACCAAAAATCAATAATTCATGGTTTGTTATACCTTTTTTTTGCAATGGCAGCAATATTACTTTGATGTGGGGGAAAAACATATTCATGTACTCATACACCAGTCTAATTTCTTTTCAAAACAATTTCCCTTTCAAAAGAAATCAGGATGGCATGACAGAATATAAGAATATAGTCCCCTTCAATTAACAATGGATTGACGTCCGTGCTTTTTTGACAAATTTGTATTAGGTACTGTGAATAAGTTATGAAAATATTTTTAATGGATACCGGTTGGCAATCGATAAAAGCACATAATGCTTCATCAGTTGTACACCTCTTTTTATTCTTTCTTCCATTAGGAAAAACGCATGGAAGGAGACCAATCGCAGCATTTCTTTTCTCTTCATCTATAAAGTAGTTTATAAATAAAAGTCAGTCTTTTCGAGTTTAGATGAAGAAAGTATTTCCTGCATCACATATGTTTCATGCATCATGTAACCGTTTTTTGCAATTTTTGCCGAAATTCATGCTTGTTGCAATATTCAAGTATTTTGTCCATTTTTCTGTTTGTGTATCTGCGTAACAAATTAATTTCTCCACTGTTTCTGGTGTAAATTGCAGAAAAAGACCGCGATATCTGGATACAATGTTGCAAAGTCTATTTCAACCTGAATAAATTTTTGAAAAACATTTGGTTAGCCGTACAAGATGATGTATAACGAAAGAACGTTTAAGAATTTTCTTTACCATGCCAGGGACATCAAAAAGACGAGGGTATTCTTTCATTACCTCTAGTATTGTAAGTTGTGGCGTTTTTCTAATCCATTCTGATAGATTTAAGACGGTCTTCTGCTAATAACTTTTTAGGGTTGAGATAGGCTCCCAGTTGTCTTTTATCCCCTGCTTCATTCCAGCATAGTCAGATTCATTTAAGACTGGCTCTTTTTAAGAAAAAAAGCAAATTTTCCACAAGCACCATCAAATAAACTTCTATTATCTTTTTAATTGACGAATTTAACCTGGTAGAGATCTTGCCAAGTGTTTTAGAAAAGTTAAAGTTGAAGCCAAATTCTTGTTTAGTCTGATGGTGTTTTATGCTCTTTCTCCTAACATTTCTAAGCCTTTCTTCCAACCACCCTGTAGCAGAATGAATTCCATTTCCTGGAGTGTACCAAGCTTCCTAAAAATTTAAAAAGCGATCACGTACAAGAAAAAAAAACAAACATTTGTAAAATGCATCATTTGACTCCAAATCAAAATTTAAACGTAATGAGAAACGCATACATATCTTTGACCCTCTTCGTCTTTAAGGAAAGGAAACTGCTCCACCACTGCCTTTGCCATTTTGATTTCGATGACTGTATGAGGCCTGTATTTTAGAATTATTTAAATTTTACTTGGATGTTGAACAATCCAGAACTTTTACGGTAGCGTGCATGTGTACTTATGACGTCATTGAAAATGTAAGCAATGTCAAATTTCGGATTTTCAATCTCACATTATAATAATTTCATAGAAAGATTTTGCTTACTTCCTCTAAAAATTTATCTTTTTCTAAAAAGTATAAACATTTACATGTTTCTCGAACACGATGCTTCATTGCTAAAATCTCATTTTACTATTGTGTTAATTTGTACAACTCTTTGATTTTCGATTTTCACGATTTTTACAGTTACGATGACATCATAGGTAGACTTGCATGTTGCAATAAAAGTGGTGAATTTAGTCTTTCATATTTTCACAAACCTTTCTCCAAACTGATTAATTATGTAAGCCACTAGTATCTGAAGCATCTTGATTCTGCTTTTTCTGCTTAATTTATCCGTATCCAGTTCGAAAATTACTTGAACACCAACTTCGGACTCTTTCAAAATCGATTTGATATTCTTTAAAATATGTGAATGAAACTATAAAAAACTGCTTTTAGATGTTTGTACTCTATTTGAAATTACGGTTACTATGGCGTTGCTAGGTAGGCTTTTCGTGTACCGATTCAACTGTCCAAATTCAAAATTAAGATAGCATTGGTATACCTGAAATTTGATTTTTTTCAATAGTTTGATTCGTGGTCCAATAGGAATCTTCATCTCCTTCAAGGTTTCTTCGTTTAAAATGAGAAAGGCCTCCTCGTCAATCATATTTTCTAAAAAAATGCAATTCGAAAAACATCCGTTTCAAGAACAAAAAGCTCAAAAACAAAATAATACAGCTAAAGCTAAGTATTAAATAATATAGACACTGCATTTATTTACCTTTCATTTACTTTTTATTTACCCTTAAAACATCTTTCAAGCAGGAAAGATTCCATTCTTTAAGTTTTTCTTCAACCCTATTGTCCATAATCTTTTTTTGATGCGGCTGAAACTTTGTAGTTGTACTTGTTGGTACAGTTCACAAGAGATAGAGTAAAAAAGGCGGGAAAACTGCAAATCACAATTTGACAATCGTTACCTATCGTCAAATACCGAAGGGTGCTCGCTCGTGTCATGTGACTGTTCATTGAGCATTATCGTCGATTATCGTTCGGTTGATTATTGTCGTTCGGGTATTACTCATTGAGCTCTATAAGACCTGGAGGGGAATGTAAACCAAATTACTATAAATTATTAGCGCGCGGCCGCGTCATTGAGTTCTATAATAACTGGAGGGGAAACGTCAACAAAATTAGTATAAATTATTAGCGCGCGGCCGCGTGGTCAAAAACATGGCGGATTTTGGTGGTCAAAGTCAGCGGAGAGACGCGGGCTCATGAAATAAAATTTTTGTCGCCCACCCTGATTTGACCACCACGATTGCGAGTATAGAAAATATCAAAACTATTTATTTTCCTAACATAAACACTTTTTTAAAACTTTATTTATTAAACTGCCAACTTTTGTGGTTTGCAGATGCTGAAATAGCGACAGAAAAGGGAACATTTCTTGACTCCGGTAAGTAGCACAGTATTAGTTTTACTATTTTGTTTTTAACACGATACTTGAAGAGTGTTTCTACTACTAAGTTTTAATTTAAAGTTATTTTGGTCCAGTCTTGTTTGTTCTTCACTTAATCGCTCGCCAGACGTGGCGAAGCTGTCAATTTTTATCGAGTTTTGCATCCATCTTGTATCATGATCAAGGCATCAAGCTAAACTCTCCTGATTTGAATTGAGTTTACCTCCCAAAAATGGGGCATGAAGGGAAAGTTTACAACAGAGTTGTGTTGAAATTGAATGCAGTGCCATGCAAAATTAATGAGAACTATGGTATATGTTGTATAATAAAAATAGCTATTAAACTGTTTGCCTGCTCAATTTGACTGACTGTATAGTGTAGACAACTATAATGGGATTGGAAAGTTGGATTTATGCAAACAATTTTAAAGTACTACTTAGCGTTTCTGTAAATGAAGTATTTATTGTTATAGTAAACAGGTTACTACTTCAAAACCAAGATAAAAGTAGTGTGTTGAACAATGTGCTAAGATTTGTTTCTACCTTCAAATTTTTGTTCAACAGTAGCTTATGATTATATCATTAATATGCATGAAAAATTAAACATATTATTGTCTCATCTCATTAAATCCGTACTTGGTATGATTCCAGGTGATCCACAAATTCACATCGGATGCATTGGTTACAATGAAGTTGAATGTAGAAGAAGCAAAAATAGATGGCAAAGAAATTCTTTGTGTCTTATGAAGAATTAGTAGAAATCAATAAAAAGAATTCTTTAAACAAATTGTAAACAAATTTAAATTTGCTCATGGTCAAGCAACCTAGTCAAAGAAGCAAAGTCTGTCTTCAACATGTGACCTTTCCAATTATTTAGTTTCTTTGTACAAAATACTATTTTCGAGAAACTTGATTTGTAAGTCTTTCATTAATATTTTTTTACCAAGAGATAAAAGGAACTAATTCAAAGGCTTGATGTAAAATACAAAGATTTAACAAGTTGTTTATCATTTAATTCCCAAATGTTAGTTTGTACATATAAATAATTAGTATTGGTAGCTGTAAGTTGTTTAAGCAAAACAGAAGAATAGTAGTGCTCGAAGGGGTTAGCATTTTTGGAAAATTATATCTTGCTCATGACATATATTACACAATTCCAAAAAAAATAAAGTAATGCACAACAATATCTATAGAGCTTGATAAATTTCTTCACCTACACTGTCAAATAACTATTTTGCCTTCATGCAGCAATAGACAGTGTTTTTGTCAGAGAAACCAATGCACTTTAGTTTCCAAGTTTGTAATTTCAATGGAAAATTAATGTAGTTCTGTTCAGTAATAGATCCAAGATTCTGTCAAGCTGTTTACAAAATACAAATTACCAAGCAACAGTGTCATGGTGTTTTGAATTTTTTTCTTTTTTGTAGCTCTTCTAGTTCAACATACTTTCTTTATGAGTTTTC